TAATGTTTATATAAATATATTTAGTTACGAGGTATCGCATAATATGCTACAAGAAGCACCCCCATTAACCAGAACCTAGTCTAAGCTCTGCAGTACAAACACTGAGGAACCTGGCGTCCAGTGCTCTGTTCCGCTGAAAACAACGCCCTGATGAGCAATGGCATTTAAATGGGTCCTCTGCACTTAGGAACAATTGAAGTGTTATTAAATACAGCCTTAGCAAAAACACTGAGGGCTGTCCACGGGCAAGTATGTACAAAGACCATGATTAAGTGGATATTCTAAAGGGAGCCCACTAACACTGTGCCAGATGGCCAAACCTTCACGCCACTACTCCAGCCACGTGACTTGAGGGGTCAGATGTGGGTAACAACATCTTACCTGGAAAGAACGAAGATGACCAGCTACTTTTACGTAAGTTCCTGGAGGCACCACAACATTCTCACCACCTGCCTCCTAACAGCGAGGAAAAGGAGAAAGGAAGGTTCTGCTCATCCAGTTTCCATTTCTCAATTATCACAGTAAATTACTTAGGAAAGGAGGCTTACACAAACAGCATGCACTCCTACATCCAGTAAGAGCAGCTGAGTAAACACAACCGCAAATTAAAAAGAGAAAAAAACCCCAGTCATTTGAAAACACTGCGCACTTGACAGCATTCAAAGCCAGCTGTCTGCTCTGCTGTCTCTGTCCACGCCCGAGGTTTTCACAGAGCAACAAGAGAAAAAACCTTCAAATTGTAAAAAAAGAGACGTTCAACCATGTAACCTGGCTAGGGGAATCAGAGCAGTCCAGAACCTTTTTGAAGTTATGATAAACTTGCAGTTAAGCAAACAGGAGGTCTGCATAACTACTCTCCCAAAGTTGTTCAACTGAACTCAGCTGTTTGCCTTCAAATCTAAGTTACAGTAACATGGGCTAGCTTTAAAGGCCTGCTGTACCAGCAGTGACAACTGACAGCACTTCAAGAGGCATGCATCAGAAGACAACAGCATTCATCAGTACATGTCCTTTGTCTCAACCACTGTGCCACACAGAAAAATGGCTGTTCACTTCCCCCTCCCCTTGTGTTTCTCTATACAAAGGTACTGAGCATGTACCTCTCAGCTCAGTTATGAAGTGATGGTTAAGCTTCAGCAGCTAAATTAAAAAATCAGAGTGATTCAGTGTAGAACCACATATAAATGACAAACACGAGTCACACACAGCACCAGTGATGTCAGCTACAGCAGCATCTTCCTTAGCTTTCAGAGGCATGCTATTCCTGAAACACTTTTCGGAACAGCCATGCCTTTCTGTTAAGTCTTCACCACTCCCGAGAGCTTTTAAAGAAGCCCATCCTTAACGAATGCGGTGCTTACATCAGTATCAACCCACTGCCTGACGTCCATCGGGGCTGCCGTCATGTCGTCCACTTTGTAGAGAATGTTTGTCGGTGCTTTCTCAGCATGCCGAATTATCCCCATAATGGTGACCTGCGTCGCAAGAGGGAAGACCTCACCTGAGAAGGCCCCGGGGAACGAGCGTGTTGTACCTGCGCTGGGTGCTCTGCCCCGGTGCCCACCTGGGAGATCTCCACGTCGCGGATCCGGAAGGTCTCATCGACCTGCTCGGCTGCCAGCAGCTGCGACACGGTGCAGGGCACGATGTTCTGCGAGCGGATTCTCTGCAACGGACGGCGGGGCCGTCAGCACCGCCG